TGTAATACAGATACTAGTAAGGTATTCAGATCTTCTGTAATACAGATACTAGTAAGGTATTCAGATCTTCTGTAATACAGATACTAGTAAGGTATTCAGATCTTCTGTAATACTGATATTAGTAAGGTATTCAGATCTTCTGTAATACTGATATTAGTAAAGCATTCAGATCTTCTGTAATACTGATATTAGTAAGGTATTCAGATTTTCTGTAATATAGATATTAGTAAGGTATTCAGATCTTCTGTAATACAGATACTAGTAATTATCAATAACTTATGATCAAAGTAAGCTTTCTAGAAAGATCACAATTAAATATTAATCCAGTAAATAATGTAGCTAATTAAATAAATCGAAGATCTATGATGATTAGGTTGCAGTGATTCATCAGTTGGGTTCCCTCGTTGTTATATTTTCGGATGTAATCCCAATAATATCTGATAAGCTCGATTGGTTTGGGATATTTAGGTTGGCCGTAAATCTAAGTATTAAACAAACAATGAAAAATATATAAAATAAATTAATATATACATTAAACATTTTAACGAATTCTGTTCCTTACTCTTTCTTTTTTTCGTTTCAACACGGCTATTAGATAAGTTGGACTTAACAGCAGGATTAAACAGGATATCTAAGGAATAATCGATATTTGAAATTTTGACTGAGTTTTAATCTTGTGTGAGAAAATAAAAAACTCGACAAGTTCGAGAGAAAATGAACATGATCTTTAGTACAATCAAATGGAAATAAAATGCATCATGTGTGTACATAATCAAACAAGTGGACAATTGTTTCAACAGGATCATTGAGTAGATTGTCAGATTTCCATTTTTTGAAGTGGCTCTGGCGAACTAGTCACAATCATGAAGAGAGTAGAATTGAGAAAGAATAAATTTGTCAATCTTGCAAGAAGGCTCGTATTCTTTCTTTCGTATTCTCTCACAGCATTTACTGGCCATAACATACAGATCTCATCTATTAAGCCACCAAAGAGCGTTGCAGCAGTTGATCTCACTTTTAAGCAAAATATACTGCAACATCCCCAAATGATATAGAGAACAAAGAAATACACCAACTAGAACAAGACAAACATTAATGGTTCTCTGGACCACGTGCCTATGCTAAAACTGCATAGAAACTAACGAAAAGATAGTTTTAAATTGATATTTTATCAAAGCCAAGTCGAAAGAATGTGACATGCCTGCATATCACACAAGTATAAAAGTTAAGTTTTACATATATATCAATGAATGTCTATCTATTGGTTGCTCTACTTTAAAATATTTCTATTGCTGTTACGTGTACAATATTCCTTCAATCAAACAAAAATATCACTATTACTTTTAATAATTCATTCATTTTGATTTAACTCTTTTGTTTTTATGTGTGTGATAATCAAGGTATTCTGCGTCAAAAACATAAAAATGAGAATCTTTAGTCTCTTTTTTTTTACAGAAAAAGTTTTATCATTCTACAAAAATACTAAAATCCTGCCGAAAATCGTTTTCTTTAACTTCGTGACTCAAACATTGGTACTTTTGTAAACTATAATTTAATATTTTAATTTACATGTTTATTTGCTAGAGGGAGCTCGTCATTACGTTATGATGAATGTATTTTCAAGAAACCTAATGTAGTATTTAGAATTTTTTAGTTTGTTTGAATTTAAGCACAAAGTTACACAATGCTCTACCCACCAAGGGTATCGAAATTCGGTTTCTAGCAGTATATAGAAATAGGAGTACTACTTAAATATTAGTGAATCAATGAGATACTTACTTCAATGTCAGTTAGTTAATATAGGCAAGGGAGTTATCGCGTCTATTAGTTTGAGATTCGGTTAGTCAGCGTGTTAATTACAGACAGATTAGCGAGGAAATATTGAAAGTACATGAACAATTTGTTTAAGAAGATAGACCTACCAGCGAACATAGCTTGTTGCAAACGCGTTATTGAATAAATAAATTAATTCGTTACAGTTACGTGACAACCGTATTGTTTGTTTTAACGCAAAGCTACATAATGGACTGTCAGCGCTCATGTAAATAAATCCTGGATATAAGCGTTGTCAGTCCGTAAACTGACCTCTGACCCATCGAGAGACCAAACCTTCATATTTACTTGCAGTTTATAGTATTATAAATGTATTAATATTTAACTTGTAGCGTGTATTAGGTGATAAAGAACGGAAAATCATAAAATATTGTTGTAATTACTTGTGCTAAGTTGCCAGTTATAAGTTTCACAGTGCTTATATTATAAGCACTATTCAAAAATATATCAATAAAAATACTCTTTTTTTATTCTAAACTAGCATATACCCCGTCAAAAATGGCAGGGCAAGTACTACCACCCCCACCCTATAGTATACTCTAACC